TAAAACTATAAAATGGAAATCTGAATGAAAAATATGAGTTAAATCCAAGAACAATATTCCTACTTGATCTCTTCCATGAAACCATAACTCAGATCGAATTTCTCAAACAAGATCACAAATTGATCCAAACCCACCCTAGATTTGTCCATCAAAATCCTCTGAAGCTATATTTTTGCACATAATTAATCACCAATTTTTTTTTGAATAAAACATAGATTTGAAGAATAACCACGTAAAATTTTACATCTTTATAGGAGAAACTGACCTGAAAGAGTGATTCTTGAAGCTTCAATGGAGACTTCAAAGACAGCCTTATTACCCAATTCAAGATTTTGAATGGAGTATTTGGTGATTCTTGGTTTTGAAATGGAGATTTTGAATTGAATATATAAATATAAATATAATGAGCATTGATTGCAGAAAAAGGAAAAAATACAGATTGGCTTTACAGGGATGAAGTGAGATGGGGCCAGCAGGCTTTAATGGTCAATACAACTTTCTGAATATTCATCTTTGGTCAAATCATATCGATTATTTTATTTTATTTTTTGTTATAATTTTTTCATCTTACATAAATAGTAGTACAATTTTTATTGCTACGTTCTTCATAAATCGTATTAATTACTCTACTGTGTTTTATCTATCTATCTTCTATATATATACTAACTTAAAAGGCATTAACTCCTAAACTGATGCTAAATTACTATAATACCCCTAATTAAAAATACTTCATTTATTTTATTTATTAATTTAATTATTTGTATTATATTAAAAGTAGATACCCTTTCATATTAAAGAATTGTGACTTTTTCAAACTGTTGTGATTTTTTTGACGGATTTTGACATTTTCGATGAGTTTTGACTTTTTTGAAGGGTTGTGATTTTTTCAAAGGGTTGTGATTTTTCCAAAGGATTATGCCTTTTCCGATGAGTTGTGACTTTTGCAAAAGGTTGTGACTTTTCCGATGAACAATGACTTTTTTGAAAGGTTGTAAATTTCTGATAAGGCACAATTAACACTTATTCATACTACTATTTGTTAGCTATAAAATAGAGGGGCTTCCTCTCACTTTTAAACTACGATTTTTTAAAGTTTTCTACTCTTCTTCTTCTTAAATAATCTCGGGATTATTTGCAACAGTTGATTAAGTTCAAAGTTCAACAAAATTCGAAATACCACATAAGAAAGAGTTGGTGAACAAATTGTAGCAAATCATTCATAAATTCACACTCGTATTTTTTCTTACGATTTTCATGAGTTAACAGTGACGAAAAGTTGTGGGAAAGACAATAATAATAAACAAATATGAAAATAGTCACATGATTTGGGTAAGATATTTCTTCTTTGTTTTTTTTTTTAATTATGTTTTTACCCTCCAATGAAGGAGTTTCTTTCTAATTTTGCTAAAACAACGGGCATCAATGTAGACTGTAGTCTATTGAATCATTAGTTTTGATGTTAATTCCACTATTTCAAAAATAGATTTTCACTTTTACTTATAGTATGATAATATAGTAATGATAATAATTATTTTTTAATAGATATGTAAGTAAAAATGAACGGAGAAAGTAAAGTGGTGGTGGCAAGAGATTTTAATCAAAATGGAACACTATAGTGAATATAGCATGATCATATTATTTTCGTCTTCCTTCTTCATTGGCTATGTATCGTTCCATATATTTTTTTTAAAATATTTATATTGAGTATGGAATTTTTTAAGTATTCATTTCCTGTTATTTTGTGTTCATTTTAATTTGAGAAAATGGTATGTCACAATGATTGATCATAAAATAATCTTAAATCAAATTAAAGATTCTATAAACAATCCTTTAAATTTTATTCATCTATTAATTTTTATTATTTAAAAAGTTTAATATTTTATATCACGATACAACTTCTATAAGATACTAGATACTTTCATTAGACAACAAGTAAAAGATTGATTGTGTATAAAGATAAAATATTGAAATATTTATGGTAATCCTTATTAGTGTCATGCACATACTAAATTTCAAGTATGAATATTTAAGAGAAAAAATATACTTAAATGGTGTCCATAATTTATGTTCATGACCTCAAGAGGAAAAACTATTGGTAACATTTTTTGTATTGATAATTTTTTAAAATTTTGTTGGTTAGATTTGCTTACAAAATTTAGTAAAGTAAAAAATAGTACTACTAAATAAATGATACTTTCTCCCCATATTTAAACTTTGAATGTATTTTGAAATGTTTCAATGATATCTGGTCATTTTGATCTTAAAATACAAGTAACTCTATGACAATTTGTATTAATCATTTAAAAGCACTTGTCCTATGTTCTTTAAACTATAATTATTTACTAAAAAAAATTAATTTAGTAATATTAATTCTATTTTACAATATCGTATACTATATGTACATATATATGTGCAACACACGTGCCGTGAAACTAGTTATATAATAAAGAAGAAGTAAGTAGACAGACTGTTTAAGGGTATTTTGGTCATTTTTTGTTTAAGTTCTATGAAATGTTTGTTTGTAATGAGATGAATGTGTGGGCATAGTGAGAGATGAATTTCGTGATAGATAAAATGAGGAAATCGAGATTGAGATGGTTTGAACATGTGGGATGGACGCATACGCTCTAGTGAGGAGGTGCGAGAGGTTGATTATAGTAGGTATGAGGAGAGGTAGAGATATGCTGAAGAAGTATTAAGGAAGGTGATTAGACAGGATACGATACAATTTTAGATTTTGTACCAAAAACAAGACCGTGTGGAGGATGCAAACTAGGGTAGAATTTTAGTAGATAGTGGAGGATCGTTTTGCTTTCTAAGGGTTTATGCTTGTTGGTGTTTGTTTGTCCATCGTTGTACTAGCCGTATTATTATAGTTTTGCTTTTGATATCTATCATTGTTTGTTGTTGACTGTATTTCCCCCTATTGTGCTTGCTCCTTTCTTGTAGATTTTGTATTGCTTTTCTTGTTAGTTGTTATGTATTCTATGTTATTTTCTTCTTCTTTATACTTGCTTGGTGTACTTGAACTGAGAGACTTTAAAAAATAATCTATTTACTAGCTTTCACAAGATAATAATAAAATTTATGTAGATCCTATTATTTTTATATCTCACATGTTCCATTGCTTTTTTCATACTATACTCTCATTTCATTTAAATCTTGTGAAGTTATTAAGTTATCAACCCATGTTCTGTCACCTCTATCATACTCTATTTGAATTTCCTTTGTGAATATCTTGTGACAGGTATTGAGTTGGCATCAATCCATCATTGAAATGTTAATTTTTTTTATTATTATAAATATGAGTAATATTTCATGGACTTGAATTTTTAAGTTAATTAAAGGTTGTTGAATATCAAATTTTGGTATTAGATATACTTAACTAAAGCTAAAACATGTAAAAGGAAATATAAGAAGTTGATATCTTCTTTTTTCTGTATTTGAATTTATTAGTTTTTATATTCAAGATTCGAACCTATGACCTGTGATTAAGGGAGAAATAACCCTTCTACTACACAACATACGTTGGTAATAAGTTAATATCTTCTTTTCCTTCAAACCTTGTCATTTTCTTTATTTTATTGGTTAGTTAGGTACAAATAAGTAAAATTAAAATGATACTTCAATCAACCCTATTTCAATTCGATCCACACAACCATATTTTTAGCCTCTTTTAGAAAGAATTACTATAACTTTCTAAATTATAAAATAATTTAATTTAAAAACTTTTTATTTAAGTGACGACTTTTACAACATCACGATACTATTGCATTTTCAACAATAAAACAGTTTCAAAAGTCATATAACTACACAAACATTATTGTATGTTTAAAATTAAAATTTCAAAAATCTCCCATCCTTAAACTATGTATCCAATTAAATAGGATCAGGTAAATTAAAATAGAAAAATATATACAATTTCACTAATTAAGTGATAAACAATATATGGCATAAAGAATTTATGAGAAAAAGAAATAAATATTAAAAATTAGCATTATAAATTATAATTCGAATTTAAAAGAAAGTTGAATGAAATAAAGAGACTATATGTAGATAATTAAAAACTTAAAACTGGTAAGTAATGAATATTCTTTTAAAAAAATAAAAAATACTTGACAATGCTGTTGAAATCTTTAACAGTTTATTAATGTTTTTTGCTCCATCTCTATTGTACATTTTATTTAAGGTTTAAGCGAAAAGAAAGTTATTCTAATTCAGTAATTTGTATAAATCTTCAATTTAGAATTATTACTTACCGAAAACTCAATAATATAAAAATAGAATCTTTATCTTTTTAGACTATATAACTATAGTAATCTTTTATAATTTGAAGATAAGTATTTATTCCATTATTCTCTTGTATTGAGATAATTCTTTTTAAATTCATAGCATAATACGTTTTATCAAACTGATTTGAGTAGATATACACAAAACTCGAGTTGATATTATATAATATTAGATAAAATTGAAGTTTCTTTAGTTATTTCTTTTGTTTTAATCAGATATTTTGTGATAATCAGTTTGTTAATATTTCTAGCTTGATTTGCTTACCACCGATAACTGGTCTTTACCTTCACTATATCAAATGTCTAATTATTTTTATCATAAATATATATGCCACAAACAAATTTCATGCTATACCTTTTCTCTTTTCGAAATTCAAACTATTAAAACTTTAATCAAAATTTTAAAATGTATCTTTTTCTTCATCATATTGACGTAAGAAAAATTACAACTTTTATACCGTTTTTAAATATTTAAATTGATCTGTCCAATTTAACTTGTAAGAATAATCAAATTGACTCTGGATGAGTGAAAAAGGGAGTAATACATTCTATTTTGTATTCCCTTCACTTGCATGTCATAGTAAAACACCTAGTTTCACAACTCAGAGTTGCAACATTGATGAACATTTTCTCTTTAAAACAAGTAACGACTACGACTAAAGATTGTGATGGGATGATAAGTACTCTTCCATCCATTATGTTAACAAAATGTATTCTAACATCACATTGCTTATTAATCCATGAATGAAAAATATAAGTGTATTTCCAATATTAGCATACCTCACTAGACGTTTCTAATCATATACATAATGACAATTCAACGTAACGATCTCCAAAACAAAATGTTCTCTATAAAAAAAATAAAAAAAATAGAGAAAGGCAAAATACATTTCTCATCATTTAAAAGATAATATAAGAGAAAACATGACACAACGCCAAAGATTGGAAGGGGAAATATCGACTGATGGCTAAAATACAATAATACTGAAACACAGTTACACAGTTACTACTCATCCTTTCTGAAATCAGGACCTGGAAGACCCGCGGGTGGGCAAGCTCCAGGGGTTGCCGGTGAGATATCTCAACAGTAATGGAGCCAAGCATTTTAACTTTTCGCAATGTGTATACCTACAAGACTGCAAGGTAGAAGCGTTTTAACGTTAATTGATTATAGAAGACATGAGCAAAATATGGCTAAACTTAATCAAGTGAATCCCACATTCTCCAGATCTAATATAACGTTCCTTTCTCTAACAAGATCAGCAAAACAAATGCTTTCTTCTAATGAAGTGTTTGTCCAACTGTGCGACCTATAACGTTATAAGTGGAGAGAAATAGAGAGAACTCATTCGGCGTATTCTCACTTTTTTTTATTTATAAATGTGTATTTCTCACTTGATTCAAATGCACTGGCCTATATATGTTAGGTGTAGAATGCACAAAGAAAGTGTGAACACAATAAATAGAAGATGATGGTGCATTTATCGCACCACTGGAATAGTTATTATGTTGCCACCGAAGACCTTGACCTCTAAAAAAATCAAGTTGACTTGAAGGATACAAGGTGCTAAAAATAGGAGTCAAATAACGAGTAAAAACTTCCGTTGAGGATTGGATTTCATGATTTACAAAAAATATGTAATTTACCTCACCTGTCAAAAATAAAGGGAAAGGATATAAAATGCACATAGGTCTTTAAAAAATAAAACTCAGATCAATGACCTGAAAAATATTCCCCACCATATATTCAAAATTCTTACTGACATTCCAATCAAATTGACACCACCATTCAGAAGTTAAAACATTACTTGTGCCAAGCAAGATAGAGGAGCTAACTGCTACTTTTCTCAAGTTTCAGGGCAACTAGTACAATATTTCTTTAAATGGCAGACAGCAATCAGCTTAATTGCTACATGAAACAAGTATATTATTTTATCAAGAAAACTATGACTAGATTGATATCTTAAAGTTGTAAAACAAGTAGAGTTTTTTCTTTCCAGGTGAATATGAGGTGATGCATACATCAAAGAATGTTAAAGAGAAACCTAGAACATCTTCTCACAAAGTGCAAACCAATCACAAGTTAAAATAGATAGATTAGAAGATGAGAGTTCCATTTACCTTTATGTATGGACCCATAGGGGTTCCAAAGAGAATGACCTGTCATTTCTTGTCTGAGCTGCAGGAGCTCCTCCTGGAGGTGCATGCACAGTTATTGGAAGTACCCACTCACATTTCTCTCTACCCTCTACCAAAAGAGGATGTTCATATCTGATACATCATGCATGAAGTATTTCAGAAACAAAGAGGGATAAATTCGTGAATTTAGTCAATTTGAGGAAGAAAATACCAAATTACAAAGGAAAATCTACAAACAGAATCAGATAGATGAATCAGGACATGGAGAACAAATTGAGGGGAGAAAAGAGCATCAAGATTACAATTATGGTGCATTTGATAAGAGACCATAAAGTTCCTTCCCTTACCATATTTTCTTTACAATTGAATTGATATATCTAAGTGAAGCAATTCAAGGGCATTCTTCAACCTTCCATGATTCACTAGAAATAATTATGTCAAGAGAGTTCCACTTTAAAGTAGAGATTGGAAGTTCAATCATGACAAATCTCAAGGTGTCTTGATTCTCCACTTTGATGGAAGTGGTACCAACAGCAAAAAATAGATATTGATAGCGAGAGAGTATTTCCTGTTAAAGGTTTCTAGCGTAAGAGTCATCATAACAATGCTGAGTATCCTAGTTTATTGTGAGAAGATGGAGAGCATCATCATTATCAGTTTTCTATTAGGACAGTGGTTCATGATGCATTGCCCAAATTATTTTAGAAGAAGAGGCAAAAGATTGTCGGTCAGAGCTACTTAAGTTCGAACGAACAAGTGATAGAATCTTCTTCTCCATGTGAGTTTCCGAGCACATTTGGCATCTGTTTATTCCGAAGGGTTATAAGCCATGTAGAGGTGAGCCTTTAGCCTCTTGATGATTTACCTGGACTAAAATGGAGATACGTAATTAATGGGCTGCAATTTTATTCAACAGCTTACATATTATTCATGGATTCGCAGGCATGAGGAATTGAAAGGTTGAATGAGAAAAAAATTGTACACAAGATCACTGTCAAAATTTCTGAAATCCCTTGTATTTGGTGGGAATAAAGAAGCACTGAAGTAGCTGAAGAGCTGATATACTTCTAAATCCTTTTGATCTGGTGATCTTTTTCAGCTTTTAAGTTAGTCTGCAAGCGTCTTTTGTATGATACTTTTCCCTGTAATGTGCTTTACCCTCTCTTTTTTGCGCCCTCTTAATGGAAACTCCAAAATCTTTGATCAATGAATTATGCAACAACAAAATATTCTTGTTACATGAGCAAGTACATACCTTGACCAGTCAGCATTCTTGGGAGTGGTAAAGAATTCAAATCGAAGAGCCCACTGTACGGAGACATAGTGAGTGGAAAAAGACATAGGACCATCCATCGGAATGGAAAAAAGGAAGCTTGTCTGAACTAAATCAGCAACCACCTCATGATGATCACTATGAACCTGAATAAATCAAAATGCCTTGGTGACTAATCACCAAATGAAGGGGCTCAAGTGTTTATCTCATCTAAATAAATCCGCCAAAACACTTTTGTCAAATGCAAAGAGTTGTAAAGAATCATCAACAGGTAAAGAATACCTTAGTAATAGAAGGAGCATGTCTCCGTGAAGGATGTACATAGCGTCGGCTGATAGTTTCTGTCATCTCCAGTGTAATTGAAAGCTAGAAGGCAACAAAAGGATCAGTAAACTCCAGAAAGCATAAACTAATAAATAAACCACATGTTTAAGGCTTATTCCAAGCATGAATTTTGATGTATAGGACTACCTCAAGGCATCTTCTAGAACCCTCTTCATGAAAAAAAGTCAGGGTTCCACCTATCTGTTGCCAAAGAATAAATTGAAGTTATAAGTTTCCAACCAGTCAGGTACAAATTGGCATTGGTAATAGCACTAATGGAAAGACCAATACACTGACTAATACAATTACCATATCACTGAAGTAATATGTTGACTCAGAATTTTTTGGAGAAAATCTTAGAAGCACTTGGTCATCCAGTCTAATGTTGTAAGATCTCCCTCGAATAAACCCTTCTGCTGCAGAAAATGTTGGCGACCGATTATCATGAAAGATCTTTCGTTAACAAACATCAGCAAAGGAACAAATACTAATAAGATATATATAAGTACAAGGTCGATTTACATGCTCCAGATTCACCCATGCCTGAGACAGAAGGTACCATCGAATCATCATATTTGGAGAAGGCCTTGGTACTTTTCAGCTGTTGACTTGGGGACAAAGCATCTGCTGAAAGAATAAAGTAAAACCCTCAGCTCTTGTTAGGTTAAAATAAAATAAAAGCCAGCTTGATTAAGAGGCGTTGCAACATTTCCATTGGAAAATAAAAGAGCATAGAGACAAAGAAAACCTGTTTGGTCAAAGACATTAATCCATTGAACCATGAAAACAGATACACGTTTTCTGAGCTTAGTCTTATTCTCTTAAATTATTTCAGTGATAACGCCGTGTCATATGTATGTAGACATGTTTTTGTTCGTCTTACCCCCATTAGAATCATACAAGACATCAGCCACAGCTATCTGTGGAAGTGCCAGTTGTGAAGATATGCTTGACCGTCCTTCAAGATGTGGAAGATCTTTGCTTGAAGTCCTTGCCAAGGAAGACCGCAAGGATAATGAGCTTCCGAATGTCTGGTGTATATTATCTTTCATGGGATTATAGGAGGAAATTGATGAAACTTCATCCCTCGAACTTTCATATCCTTCCTCCACACCATCAAAAGTTTCATTTATTTTAGCCTGCAAGCACACAAAATCACATCAACAACTCAACATGTTCTCTCCAGGTACGTTCTCTGTTCTGTCAGCTTTTGATTATTCTACAATAAACTATTAACTAAAGTTACTCATTGGCATAACCAGATCCTGCCAGGGAACAAGAAACAGATAACATGTAATGACCCGGAAGGCCATTTTTGGAAATTTTTGTAAAATTAACGTTTTACCCCTCCCGATAGTTGCCCCGAGTCATTTCTGATCAGTCAATGAAGTTGGTTTGCGAATTTTGAACTATTTGTTAACTACGGATATTTAGTCGACGGGTAGTCTTTTTAAAATAATTAAATTAGTTGGTCTATAAGTTATTTAATACCCGCCCATGTGTTGAAATAAGTTAGTGGGAGTTGATATTTTTAGATCATAATTTGAGAAAGAGAAATGGGTACGCCGCATTGAAGACAACAGCGCAGGTACTACAAACCCTTCCATAACCTTTCCAATTATTTTCTTTTTCTCTTCTTATCAATTAATGATGACCACTATACAAATAACAAGTCAATGATTAGTAATGATTGGATATTGATTAATAATGAAATCATAACAATTTAATTTTTGAGAAAGTTATTGTTGTTTTCAGTCATAGGTTGAAGCGTGTCAGTGGGTATTCTCAATGGGAAATTAATGGTATTTATGGGACAATGATTATGGGCTAATCATAGGGTGTAAATTGAGGATTCTGTAGATTGTAGTTTCCAATGAATTGGCGCACTGGTTTGTAACTAGGCTTCGATATCTTTATTCCAGATTTTCTTGTACTAATTACTTTTTGATTCAAGTCTTGATAAAATTGGTATAGGTAATTAAATATTAGGTGTATTGTATTATATGAATTACCATTAGAGTTATGTTATTTGGAGGAATTAAGACTTAACCCTAGGCTTGGAACTTAGGAACTTGATTATAGATTTGAGTAAATTTTTGGGCATAGGCTAGACGTATAGTAATATGAGTGTCTACGGAGTTGGTTGCTTACGAATATTGTACATTTGAACAGATTGCATTGATTTGGAAGCCCAACGAAAGGGGAAAGCTCAAGTCCTGGAGTGATTGTTTGATTATTTGAGGCAAGTGGGCTTCTTGGCCCTTTTTAAGTGTATAGAATCGTGTATTTCCTTGTTGTATGTGTTGGGGAGTAATGGAAATTGGTGATGGGTTGACTTGTTCATATTGGATGATCCTAATGATGAAAAAGGTGTAATAAAATGCAACTTGATTAATTATTGAAGGTGTTGAGAATGATTTGAAAGGTTATCCATTCATTTTTTATGTTGTATCACAATTGTGTAGTTGTGAATTGTGCATTGATATGAAAATGGTCATCTACTCATTATTTGTGTGAACATGCCTATTTGCATTGGTTCTGAGACACAGTTGTAACGAGTGTTGTGTGAATTGAGGAAGAATAAAGAATTAAAGAGGATGTACCATTTCGGGGGACGTGTCGCACGCTGCGACGGAAATTATGATCCAAGGGACGTGTCGCACGCTGCGACGGATATTATGATCCAAGGGACGTGTCACACGCCGCGACGAATTCTATTATCGAGGGGTCGTGTCGCATGTCGCGACGGATGCATGGACTGATAAGTCCCATGGGTCCCAGACTTAGAGACAGCGGGTGTGTATCACAAGGTCAGCTATGCATCAATATACTTGGCATTGCATATCTTTATCGTTTGTGAACTTGTGAGTGTCTTTTTGTGGAACTTGTGATTGATGAATATTGTACTTGTTGTTGAGGATCTGTAATTTTGTTATTGTTGTTATTGAGCTATGTGCTATGTAAATTGTGAACAGTTAGGTTAGGCTGGATTTATGCAGGTTGTAGCTGTGGAGGTTTGGTTGGAGTGTTAGGAGTAACCATATTCTATATTACTTGACTTTGTGTTTAGGAGTTTGCTTGTTGAGTACCGTGTTGTTTGGTACTCACCCTTTGCTGCTACACTTGTATAGGTTTCAAGCCCGAATCTTTGTGATACTCCCTCTTCTCTTCCTCTCTTCCTGTCTGAGGCTTCTTATGAGATTTGTCAGGTAGTTGTTTGCCATCCTAGCGGACCTCTTACTCTTATTTATGGTCTTGTTCTACTTTGGAGACAATGTCATTTGAGACTTGTGTTTTTCTTTCAAATTGTAATACATTAGAGGCTTGTGCACGGACAACCATGTTTTGAGGTTTTAATTAAGTTAACTTTGTAATCCGCATTATTACTTGTTGTTAAACTTTCAGTACTTCTGCAATTATCGTTATATTTGGGTTTAGGCTAACTTGTCTTGGTGGGATAAGAAGAGTGTCATCACATCTATTTTTGGGTCGTGACATAACAAGAAGTGGCAGAAGAAAATAAAGAGAGGGAATAGACAAAAAGAGGAAGAAATTAAAGAGGCTTCTGCTAGTCTAGAATCTTAACATTGTTTTCTCTTGGCAAGTACAAATTGAAGATAGATTCTCCTTTCTCTTCTGCCTGAGATCCCGAAGTCTCCAAGAAATTGGAAGCCACAAACATGATTGATACAATCTTTCATTTTTCTTCTAACGTTTCTTGCAATGTCAGACGTTGCTCCATTCCTAAATGGGGATGGCTAACGAAAGCTAAGTGATTCTACTTCTAGAGTGTTAATGCTAGGTTTGTTGAATTACGTTGGGGCATTTATGCTGAAAAAAGCAGGTCTAAGTTATCCTCCTATATTGAATTCTCATGGTGAAAAATGTTTTAGTCGGATCAATCATTTCTAGGAGATCCCATGGCATCATGGGGTTCTAATCCAGAAAATTTGGTTGACGTTTACAGTGTAAGAAAAATTGATAAAAGCTCACAATCAAATAACAATACAGCAGAGCTCCATATAGTAATTTATTTCTTCTAGACTGACAGAGTCCTTGGCACTGTATTCATAATCAATTTTCATAGAAATTCAATTTTATTTTCAAAGATAAAAAGAAAAGGAGAAGAACTGTGAAATCCTCTTCTTCACTCACAGGCCTCTGCCTTAGGAAAATAGAAGGGTATTTTCGTCTTTCAACATTTGGAATTGGAAAGTTACACCAGAAGTAAGCATTTGCCTTAGGTTGTGGCCAGAAATAGTGTGGGGAAGGTATTAGGCTATTCAAGTTTAATTTTCATATTAGAAAGGAGAAATAATAATAAAAAAGGATGAAAATATTCAGATCTACTATTCCCCGGAAACAGTTTGGAATTAAGTTGCAGTTGTTGTCGTTGTAATAGTCACTAGATTATCATCTTTTATTAATTGAACCATCTTTCATGATTTTGTTCTTTCAAATTCTAGTGAATCTTAATACAGTCAATAATTCTTTCTTTTACCACAAGAAGCATACTGAATAATAAGTAAAACTGGCAACAGAATGGTTTACCCAGTCAGTATCTGCATCCATCTCTTTCCAGTAAACATCCAAAAGCAGAGTTGAAGCAGGAACAATCCCTGTTACATTGAAGAACTCAATATGATCATGCCAAGTATTTCCGGAAAAAAACAAAATTAGGATGGAATTGTCAGAACTGAGAAGCAAAGAAAGAAAGAACAAAATAACAGATACATATAGCCATTTAAAAGAGATCAGTTCACCGTATCATTTTAGGTAATGCAAAGTAATTGTAATTGTACATCATTTGACTTGTCAGCACTGTAGGAATAGATATGACTGCCCACAGGAAAAGATAGTTCCGCCAGATAAAAGAATTTCTGAGAAGTCATATAACACAAGTAGTAAAACAATGTTTTTGTCTTGAAGGAGCTTGTAGGTATTTTACAACCTCCATATAATGTGGCAACCATATATACAACAATGAACAACAACATACCCAGTGTGATCCCACAAGTGGGGTCTGGGGAGAATAGAGTGTATGGAGAGCTTACCCCTACCTTGAGAGATTGTTTCCGATAGACCCTCGGCTCAAGAAAAACATTTCAAAACAGGTTTGAGAAATACACGGTGAAAGAAGCTCTGATGAAAGTACTAAGAAAAGAGAAATATTGAAAGCAAAAATAGCAAGATAACCGAAGCAAAAGAACAATAGAAGTGATAAAATATATATGCAAGAATATATGGGTACAGTGTGGCTCCTCAAAAGAACCAAATTTTCCGAATTCGTTTTCTTGTCACTATCTTTGCCACCACCCCCACCTCCAACCCCTAGTATTCCTACGTTATTGAAGATAGCTTCCAAAAAAAACAATGACCTGACTTGAAACTTTTCATGAAAAGTTCAACCGCTAAATCACGAACCAGAGAACAGAGAATGAGTTTAAAGGTTTAAAAGAACAAAAAAGTACCACTACTGCGCCCTTCTTCACTTTGAAGGCCATTACTCTTCTGAGTTACCCATAATTGCAGTGGAATTCTTGTTTCCTGCGTGGATTGAGATAGAAAAACTATTAGAATCCAAAAGCAGAAAAAAAAACTTGCGCATTTGTACTAACTCTAAAACCTCAAGCCTTGGTATATTTAGCGAGAAGGCTATAGCTTTATCGTGTCCCTCTTTTTCATCAGAAAAAGAAGAATGAGAGAAAAGGTGGGAGCTGCAGTGTTTTTCTCTTCATAGAATAGTCAAAGGATACATTGTAAGGAATCAATTTTCATATAAAATGATTATATGTATTATTTGTATTTCAGGTGGGCAGTAGTTACTTTTTCTTTTTTCGTGATGGAACAGGAATTTTCTAGTCATTGATTTGCATACAGATGAATAGAAACATAAAGGTAAGAGCACCTTCTCTTAATTCCATTCTTAATTACCAAAAGTAAAAGAGACTGAACACAATGCACAATGACCACCAAAGAAAACAGTAGCATAGTTGCATTCTTAACAAATCCAAGATTGACAAGTTGCTGCTTAATAGAATAATATGGGTATCGGAGATGTCAGAAATGCTAAAATAAAGCACATGACCAAATAGCACTCTGGATATTGACAACGATACCGAAAAATCAGACATGCAATCACAAGAGCATGTCACCAAAGAAGCAGGGTAACTCTTGAAAGCAGCCAAAATATGAATCAAATTGAACAAAGATGATAAAAGATAAATGAAAGATAACAGAACAAGGAACTAACCAGCTCCGCAAGATCTCGTATAGATTCTTCGCTGAAGTGACCATTTTCCATTATCAAGTATTGTCCAGATAAAATACTTCTAACATAGTAAAGGTAACGAATGGTTGCACCCCTGAATGATGGTGGTATGGTGCTTGGTAGAATTGTTCGCACCATAACTGCAAAATAAAAATAGAGCCTTTCTTTATCCATGTCAAAACAAATTGAATACCTTTAAAGCAGCACTGTTAAAACATTTGTAATGTTGAACACTTTGTTCGGGTTAATTGAACACATTTGTGATGTTGAACACTGAGTTATTAGATAAGTAGAATTTAATCAGGTATTAACCAATGTTTAATGGACTTGTGTAAGGGTACTAACCAATATAGCGTGTGTAAAAGTCTGGTACACATACGTCTAGTTTTTTTCAAGTTCTTAGAACATTTGAAGAATTATTAGAAAGTACTAACACCATGTTAGACTCTTGAAATGAGTACATACTACATACGAACAAAAGAAGGATCCAGGCAACATTTCTTTTTATTACAAGATTCTAGTTGCTTTAGGACTTAATTTATGCTAATTCTTTCCTTTCCATTACTTTCTCATTGACAAGAATTAGGAATCTTAATGAGTTTGTGATTAGGGCTCTCAAAGTCCTCTTCTTATAAACAAAATTAGATTCAGCTATGTGATTTATTCAAATGATTAATTGGATTTTGCCTTGTGGTTGTCATGTTCATTTCAAGAATTTATAGTTTTGCTAAATTAAGTCCCTTCCTACACATTTCCCTTGATTTCCCCAAAATGTAGTTGGGCTTTGACATAATTCCAAGTAAAGTCCTTCTTACCATGACCAGTTTCGTCACTCAAATCAAACTACAAAGCTCAATGAAATTGTCATCATCTTCGACCAAGCGCTTCAAATTTTACTGAATTTTTAAATTTCCCGGTCCTGCTATCAAACACTAACTAACAAAACAAAATATATATATCATACTTTTGAATTACTGCCACTTAACCAAGTACCCTAATTTTATTTCTATTGTATTACCTAGTATAGTACCGCGTTGACACCCTTTGTTGCTTATGTTTAGGCAAAATCTCTTCGCACGTTTGTCAATTAAAAGAAACAACACGGAACTAAATAAATGTCATGTATTTAGAATGAGCAAGAAACATGAGGGTAATGTAAAGCTAAAGGTCAAACTTACATTTTCTGGAGCTACCGGCGGAGACAATCTGATTTGATATTAATGCAGGAGTCAAGTTATCCATAAAAACATACTCTCCTGGAAGAGTAAAAACATTAAATCTCAAAGAATCACAAAAATCATAACAAGATATAAGAACATATATCTTTAGTAACAACAAATGCAGAGCTAAAGTAAACATTTTTTCTTAAAAGATCGATGGTTTCTGCCTATTGGCCATAAGAAAATCCCGATAATTTCGAAAATCCATTTATCCAATGTAGCATATTACTTTTAGGCCTTTATAAATTTGGATTGTGCCCTCTCAGCTGGTGAAGATCTTAAAAATCTCACATATTCGATAGTAGTTGCACCATAATGGATGAAACATGAGCACAACCATTTGGACTTGTTAATAGATGCATCTCGCGTCCATGTTTAGTAATTTTAGTACTAAATGTGCATGTCAATTGTTGAAAGGCAAGAAAATCACCAAAACTCTGTAGAGTATTCCTAATAATGATATTATTGCGTTAAGAGAATTATCAAGAAATTGGTTTAAAATATTCTCAATGATTATGCCATCATAATTTGGGATTCCAGCAATTAGAAAACTTCCATTATTCCATCTAATTAAGGACTTCTCCATGAAGAGTTCTCTTATATATCATTAACTACCAATGTCACTAGACGTTTACTCATTTTGTTCTGAAAGTTTAAGCAATATGTATAAAGTAAGACAAATCAGCTTTAGTACAAAGATGGTGCCAATGAATTAACCCTTCTGCACAAAAATAAAAGGAAGGCTTCCTGATCCACATATTCCTGTTTTTGTAAAGACACTATGAAATCTAGCATACTATATTCATCCTCTACATCCTGTAAATTATACCAAAAAGTCAAATGGCATAAATAGTTGTATTTGAACTTCTGTAGATAATCAATCACATCTAGCATTTCTTTCCTTCCATATACCCCATCAAACACAAGCAGGGATTGTACTTCAAATCTTCCTTAATTCTATACTGATTCGCCTAGGGCTCCAGTTGACTAGTAGATCTTACACTGTAAGGCACAAGAGTGGTCACCCTGCAAAGATTTAAGTAAAAAAGACTAAATCTGACTAGCCACAGGGAAATGAAGCAATCAGTGGCGGCCACTTTGCACCTCACTGCTACAAAAGAAACACCTATTGAATATAATCATACTCTGTCTCTGAAGGTTGATATGCATGAGACATGCATTACTTGCTACCAACCACATAAAGCAATGGACTTTATAAGACACCTTGGACTTCCATAGTTGTTTCCATGGCCAATTTATAAGAGTTGTCCCCCACACTAATGAGTATCTTGTAGCATGACTTTACAGAGAGGTGCCCATCCAGTTTTCTTGTCCAAACAATGCAGTCCTCAACATCCTCATTATGTGAAATTTGTTCTAGGTTTCAAGAACCCAAATGATACTTCCCCTGTGATTTCCGAATCTGTTGGATTGCCATCTCCTTATGGCTGTAAGCTTTGTAGATGTTTGGAAATGTGAGTCTAAATATATTGTCCTGCTACCTTTGCCCCCCAAAACTAACATTACTCCTGTCTCTTATCCAAAGGGCTCGTCTGGTAGGAGGGATAAGGATAACTAATCCTGGGATTAATTTTGTGATGAGTTTGTTCCATGTTTGGTTGGGATTAAATCATGAGATAACTTATCCCGGAAATGTAGTGTTATTTTACCCCAAATTGAGGGTGGATAACAATCATGATAACTTGTTCCCAACCAAACGAACCCTAAAAAATTATATTTACTTCTCCATAGTGAGTGCACCTCTATTCCAAACCTCCGTAGCCACTTCCCTAGCAACTCTTTAATAAAGACCTGAAGACCATTTACCCCGAGCCCCTCGCTCCACTTCTTTCGAGACGTAACATTCCACCTAACTAGGTGATTTTTCCTTGCTCCATCAACTATATCCTATAGAAAATTTCTTAGTCTTTCTATCTTGCTTATCATGCTAGCCGAAGCTTTAGTCTACTTGTGATTAATACTTCCTTTCCCCCTTTTAACAAGTACCTCATCTACTGACCTACAAGCCTTCCCTTGACCCTTTCTACTACCGAATTCCATATTGCACTGTCCTTTTAGGAAGTACCCAAAGGCAGACCAAGGAAACAGGGTAAGGAGAACTATAACATGTCAACAGTAACATTTTCAACTCTTTTCTTCATGATTATATCAACTAAGACGATAAAAAGGGGATTGAGTAAAAAAAATACAGAAAGACACAGCTAAATATGCATTGAGAATCAGAAAGAACCTCTGCGTTGCTTAAAATCAGGAGAAGGTTTAGTAGTAGAGAACCACTGAGTATCCAATTTCTCGATCCCTTTCATTTCAAAACTAAGTTTTTCAATAAGCAAAGAAGAAGAAGTCGTTGGGTTCTTGATTTCAATAGTAATGGTTATCGGATCACCCGGTCTATACACTTCTCTATCCGGTTCCAGCTTCAGCTGGGGTTGTGGTAGATCCGTCGCATTGGATCTTCTTCCACTGACACTGCCTCCGCCGCCACCTCCACCGCCGCCGATGCCGGCAGTGGTGGTAAAGAAGGAGAAAACACGGGAAGGTTTATTAGGGGCTGACATTTGGAAACCAAAAATTGGAAATTTGTTGAAAAGATCAAAAGGGTTGAAACATTAGGGGAATTCAAGAAAGGGTTTGTTGGATTTTGCTAAGAAAATGTAAGCTCAGTGAAGGTTTTTGGTGATGGAGAGTGAGATCTTTCTCTGATGATGGAGAAAAATTGTTTGTCTACTCTGAAAATTTGCATTATGGTACTTTGTGTTTTCAGTAGTGTCTTTTTTGGCCTTGCAATTTGCATCATATCATAATTCAAATTATAAACATAATCTCATATATATTTAAAACACATATATATTACATAAAAATATTATCTCGTTATAACCCTTGTGTTTATCATTATACATACTATTGCTAATACTGAAAAGTAAAAATATTTAGATTATTGGAGATCTTTTCACTTTTGAATACTTATGTTATATATGTCAGATCACGTGGAAAAGAATGCGATGAGAATAGGACTACATAATCAATCGGTTCAATTTGATTTTGAAATTTATCAGTTTTACTTAACAATTATCGATTTGTATGTATGCTAAATTGTTATGGAACCATTTAGATATCGATTCAGTTATCGATATAATCGTTAAGATTTTACTTTTAAAAAATGAAAAAGAATCAAAATTATCCTCGAACTATTTGAAATAGCTCATATATACCCTTTATTTATGTTTGGGATCAAAATTACCCTTGTCGTCTATGTTTTGGACCACAATACCCTTAAAACGTTATCTTTGACATATGTGCTGACATGACAGTCCAACATGGCAAAAATCTCTTCCTCTCAATTATGTTGTTCTTCCTGTTCATTTCTATTACAAAATAATTTTTTAAGAAGATATCAAAAATAATTTTTTCATTGTTCTTGTTTGAATTATTGTTCGAACTTTGAAATTCCAATTTTAAAGTACGCTAAAGTTCTTTTGAGATAGTAGTTGTGTGTTGAATGACCGAGCTCATTGTTTGGGTTTTGATGTCATCGAATCAGAGATTGAAAATTTAATTCTCAAGGTTGAAAGATGTTGAAAAACTCTTGACGTCATTCTTATTGTGTTTGAAACTCAAAAATAACTATTCGTTTGAAAGCTTGTTGGTGAGAAAATTCTAGCCTTTGTTGGTTTTTTGAAGTGCAAAAATTTGAAGAGATTTAACTTAATGTTACTAAAAATTGTTTGAATATTCCAATTGAGCCTGCAAATTGACATTTAACAGATGATTTTTTAGTTTGAAGATTTGAATTGAAATCCCAAAAAATATATGAAAGAGTTCTTAAAAGCTTGAAAAATCTAAAAATCGATTTTGTGAATCTATGACCCCTAATCTCAAACAATGAACTCGATCCTTCAACACGCAATAACAGCCTCAAGCGTTGCACACTTTAAAATTGGAGTTCTAAAGTTCGAACAACAACTGATCAAACAAGAACAATGAAAGAATTATATTTAATTTTCTTTTTGTGATAGGGATGAACAAGGAAACAACATTATTGAGAGGAAGGTGTTTTTGCCATGTTCGACTGCCTGGGTGGACTACCATGCCAACTCTTATGGCAAAGATAACGTTTTAACGGTATTTGTGGTCCAAAACATAGACGGCTAGGGTAGTTTTTTTATCCCAAACATAATTAAAGGATATATATGAGCTATTTTAAATAGTTTGAGGATAATTTTGATCCTTTTCCGTTTAAAAAATCATGTAAAATCACTTATTAGAGATGAGGTAACAACCAAATGATTTATGCGCGTGATTTGTCAAATTGCATTCTTGCTCAAAATTTAAAAGCAAACAGTGTTGGCACATTGTAAGATATTCAAGAGCTTGAGATAAACGGTAAAAAATGAAAGTATGAAACTAAACCCTAACTCAAGAACTTTATATATGTGCCGAATGGTACAATATAATTTATTAATTTCCTATTGGTTATCAATTAATCTGTCAAGAAATAACCTCAAACCATTATAAACATATAATTCGATGTGAATTCAAGTAACAATCAAAACAATACAATACAATCATCCAAACAAAGTGTAAGGAATGAAAGTGTGAATGAATAACTTTAAAGTAAACAGATATTTTGGGCTCCCAACTTGTAGAAGATAAAAACAAATAGAAGCTTGACAAATATTTTAGTAGAAAATGTGACAGCAAATACAAACAGTAAGCACTAATTTGATATAGAACTGTTAAAAAGATTTGAATCATTTCAATTTGATTCATATGAGACATGTTTCTTCGACCAATCCAGTCTGTTTCAAGTTGATTCATGTGACTTGTGACGCCTGTTTAACCATAAGAACTTGTTTTCTTTGACGAATATCCTTGGTCTCCACTGAAATTGTTTGCAACAAATTTTAAAGTGATCGAAAATTAATTGTAATGACAAATAAATAAAATGAAAAAACATAATTTTATTGATAAAATAAAGTGAATACAAATATGTTTGTACCATTGATTCTTCTCTTTCAATTTTCTCCGTGATCCAAGGGTTGTTAGTAGCGTATCATTTAAATTATGATGATTTGGATTTCCTGAGATTTAATTGATTTCCATGAAAGAATTTTGTGGATCTTCTTGAAGTATTTGATTGTCAAGAAGACCGCATCTTGATGTGATTTTTATGAATATCCCTAGAGTTTATGGGATATTAAAGATCTTGATTTTTATGAATATCCCAAATTTATGGAATATTCGAGATCTTGATCTTTATACCCAAAAACTTATGGGATATTTGAGATGCGGAATATAATATCATTTATATAGACATAAGCTAAAGTTTAGTGTAGATAACTAGCCTCTAAGAATTCTAGTAAAATCAAACACGTATTGTAGAGTTCCACAAAATTTCAATGTCTACAAATATCCCTACTTCAAGGCTTGTCGGAGTGTAGATTTAATGAAACTCAAAGACGAGGCTTGAAGTACTCATTCCTCCACCTTTACGATTTTGTGACTTCATATTTGCAAATTTAATTTATGAAAGAAGAGATGAAGAACAAATTTGATCCAACTGAACATGTCAGAATTTGTAGACATATATAGAGCATAATCATAATTCTCATTTTATTGTTATGAGGACAAAAATAATAGTGAAATCTAAAAGTGGCTTAAAGTGCTACTGGGATTATAGAATAACAAATAGAAAATGCATTTATGTTCCTAGAGAGAAACTAGAAATAGAGCATCAAAACACAAATAAAAATCAAGAACGGGGTTTTGAAAAAAAAAATGTATGAAGAGCCTAAAAGAATTGTAAGACCATCCTTCTAACTTTCCATCCATTCTCCTCATGATTATTGTTACGATCCAAATTCACCGAATCGTGCGATCACCTATTCTAACATCTAGATAGTAACATCTAGCTAGTAGAACTTTATTATCCAATTTAAAACTGAAAATGCAGAAATAAACAACTTTGTAATATATTAACTCATTTAGTTATGAAAATCAATTACTAATCTTGATGAAATACACTATCTTGGAAAAATACATAAATTCCTCTCTAGGAACTAGTCTAAATAGGTACAAGAGCATCTAAAGAGTACCATTTATGAAAGAATAAGACACAACTCTCACCATAAGGAAAAAAAATTAGAAACTGTCGGAGATCATTATCGTCTTCATCTATGAAACATCACTGAATCCTGCAACAAGACCATGCCAAGTGGCATAGCAAGAGTAGTATCAGTACAAACAACACTTACTGGTAGGCATCATCGATCGACCCGAACCCACCACATAATATCATGCAAATAATCAAAGAAACATGCAACTTGAAAATAAAATTAAGGTTCCGATCCATCCATTTCACCACTCTTACTACAAGTAGTATTACCTTGGAACTCATACGCTCTATCTCAAGTCACCTCGCCTCCTTCCGCTGTCAACTCCACCATCTAGGCCATTCCACCCTCATATCAAATCATAACCTAACCCTTCTATCACATAGAGATTTTCTGAATACAAGACCGCTACTAACCCTGTAAACCAAACTACTATTCTCCCTCAAGTTCTCATGCCAGCACCCTGACCCTTGACCCATTTTAGTAGACCACCTACAAGACTCTTACTAAACCATCTTAACAAATTCCCCCTTATCAGATTTGTTCCGAACACTACACAACCATAACTAATCCCAACATTTAAAATACACCACTCTCGATCATCAACTTGACTTAGTAACCATAACTTAGCAAAACAGATACCATACAATTATAATCACAAGTATAATATAGCCCGTACTCCAGGTCTCACCCTGAGTTGATATGCATGATAAATATGAACAACCTCATCATAAGTTCATAACAAGCCAAACCTAATTTATCGCACCTTTGAAATAACCCAAACCATCAAAGATAAGTGTATTAGAGAAATACTCATCTATTCAAGACTTTGAAATCAGGCAAATCACTTAAAGTTCATACATCAATTTAAGGCCCCTTGCAGTAACTTTTAGGTAAGTGTATAAACTTCAATTCTAATTTGCAAAATTCACCTCGAATAAAACTTAAAACGCAATAATGTGATAATGAGCAAATTGTGCTCAATTTTAGGCCCAAAAGCATTTTCAAAAGCTAAGATTCCACCACTAACCCGTTTGGGAGTATATTTTAAAAATTTATCTTCAAATTTTTATTTGACCATGAAATTTGATTAGATTATGATCCTCAAATATTTTCTAGTTCCCAATGACTCAAAATAGTTTTCAGTTTTTGGGACTTCAAGTCATAAACTTCAATTCTTTCCCAAGTAAAATAAGTTCAAACACAACTTCAAATTCCAAAAATCATAACTTTTGAAAACACAAATTTTCAAGGTTTCAACTTCAAAATCTATGACTAAACGAAAGCTTAAAACAAATGTTTGCAAAAACCTCAATAATTGGGGAAATTGATGACTTTTTTGTTTTTGATGAATCAGCAAAGCCCTGTCCCTCCTTTGTTCTCTCAACTGATTCCATCATCCGGAAACACTCTTCACAATGGAATCTTTTTGTTTTTTTATTTTGGTTTTCCACTCGGTGTCTGGAGCCTATATTGAAGCCCCAACTAAATCTGGATTGCGCACTACAAGTTGGCCCATTCAGGGATGGTGCTCCCAACATAATTTTCTTCATACCCGAAGCTCGAACCCGAGACCTCTGATTAAAGGTGAAACAATCCCACCACAGGAATCTTTCTTTGTGAATAGCTGTTATGCAGCCTTTATAATAACCCCTCTCCGACCATGTTTTCTTCGCCTTGGAAGATTTTATGAAAGAATCAAAATTATGGAAAATGCCTCACCAATGTGTAGATTGATTATCGTCAACAAATATTGTTGCTATGCAATAAGAAAACGGGATAATCTATAGTAGTATTATCAAACTAATCTTTTTTTTTTATAAATACATAAAAGTTCCAAAAGTACAAATACTACCATATATGTCGACAGAAAAGTTTCACTCTACTTCTGTTCACCATATTTTAAAAGTGTCCTACTGAACTTTTATCAGATTTACACAACTATATACATTCTGCCTTCCTTTTCATAAAGATATCAAAGATTTCCTTCTCCTTCGTGACGCCCATGTTTTTCCGATATTAACAGTAACTACTTCAATAAGTTTTGTACACAATTAACAGAAGAGGTAAAAAAAAATTGAGTAGATATCGGAATAAATTACCAGCAATGGTGCAAAGAAGCCAAGAGGGACTGAAGCTTCTCAGGTTGGTATGATTTGAAGAAGCCCCTGAAACAAGACTTAGGGGTTCATCACCTTTTTCCCCCGTCTTCACTTTTACTTTCATATCATCAGGCAAAATAGGGCCTACGTAATCAAAAAGGACCTTCACATCAGAGAATAATTTCCACTTTCATCAATTAATGATAACCACATACTATTGCATAGAGAAACTGAGGCTATGCTGTGATAGAAATGTACAGTACACTTAATGATCAACTTAAGGTATCTTATGAAAAAAGACAGATTAGAAAAGAATAGAAGCAACACAAATAAAAGTATAGAAGCTCAAGAATATGTACGACTCAGGTCTCTCGCTATAAGAAGCAACGAAATGTATTGGGTTTTTCAAGATATGGGATACACCTTACCTGAATTTCCCTTCTCAGATAAATTCTTTTGCCTTTGAGTCGTTGGAGCCAGGTCCCAAGGTTTATTCAACAGAAACAAACAACAAAATCATCCCTAGTTCTAATGTATAAGAAAATCTCCTTTTTATGAAAGCTCACTTCGAGAGCATTAATAAGGTATGGTCAGTCCTCGGCAGTATTAAAAAACTACTTTTAATTTTAGAACCTATTATATGAAACACACAATGAGCAACAACTCCCATACAAACTTTCTGTTGTAAAACAACAGAGGTAAGCACATGAAGGGTTAATTGGTTTAGGTTTATGACCCTTTAAGTACAAGAGTTTAAGTATACAGTTTTACCTTACTGAGATAGTTGATAATGAAGTTGTCTCTGGTTGTGCTCACCTTGGATTGCTGAAGCAGAAATTATATATAGATAGAAGCAAAACAAAAAACCTCCCCAAAAATAGAGTCGAAGAATAAGGGAAAGAATAGTGAGAAAGGAGTCGGCAACAATACTTCTGGTAAAGAACACCGGCAATGGTTTACCTGGGAGTAAAGCAAGGTCAAACGGTAAACGACCAAGAAAGGCGAAGAAAGGAATAAAACATTTTTTATTGGTTACTTAGCTTTGGGAAGTACAGAAACTCCATAAATCAAGAAGTTAAAAAAAGAAAATAAGGAAAACAAACAGATTGAAATCACTAAAAGCTAGACCCAAAGAGCATAATTCCCATCATCAACTGCTATACAGCCCATTCATAAAATTCAAATCTGAAATGGATCAATAATCCGACAATAAGGGGAAAATGGAAAGATTTAGCCGAAGAAGAGAAATTCAGATCAGATTAAGACAGCTTAAAAACATCAGTCAGAAAACATCATATAATAAGATAAAGATATTATTTTTTGCCTAAAACTGGAAGAGTAGCTAACCTGAAAACCATATAAGGTATGAAGAAACTAAACTAAAGGGGAAGTTAGTTATCAACATATCCAATCTAGCAAGAACTTGATCTAAATGAAAATGAGCATCGATACTGGAGCTCACACATAGATGCATAAGAAAGACTTAAGCCTAACATTTTCTTCCTAAAAGCACTTGTTCTTCAGTCAATCCAAATGCTATTTTCAGATCATCTCTCTATGAATTTATATATATTTGAACTTATTTATCTTGTACAGGTAAAATATCACTTGTTTTGTATTTCTTTTAGGGTTATGGACACAAACTGACGGCTACTAGTTTCAATGTCAGTGTCCCATCTAGGCATAATATTTATAAGACAAACGAATCCTCAATATCTTACATAAAGAATGTGGCGCAAAGCTAAAAGTATATGACTACAAAAAATTATTCAGAAAATGTATAAAGATAATTTTGGTAATGATAGGATATAGTCAAGTAATGCATATGGATACACTTGCTTTCATTTGATTTTGGAACAACATTTATCAGGAATATCCATGCTAGATATCTGCAAGCACTCAAACTCGTTGCCAAATATTCCTTCTTTCAGGAAACTTCTTGTATATATAATGATAGAAGTTCAAAATATTTGGTTCAAGATGAATGTGAAAGTGACCTTGGTGAAGTGATATTTCTTTCTCTGAGAGATGTCTGCCAAAGCCAAGTTGTTCAGCAGAAAATAATGTGAGAGCTTTAAGGCAGCTTCTGAATTAAGAAAATTTATAATTTATAGATATATATAATAGCTTTAGTGCAGCTTCTGGTAATCTATGTTTTTTCTAACAAAATAGAAAACCTCATAACCTGATTTAGTGCCACCAGCAATTTTGAGTCTAAAGCATTCTAAATATTTTGTGTCCACTTCAGAGACATCTTAAAAGGTATTTTGTTTTCACATTTGCTCAGATTCATTCATGGGACCTGAAAATCTAAATTAATGAAAAAAATGAATGATGTGTCACAGAGATAACTTGTTGACAATAGAGAAAGGAATAAATGATGTATCATGCAGATAACTTGGTGACAACACTGACATAAACTATCACATACACTGTCTCATAGGATTCTCAAAGAACAACATGAGCATACTATCTGACAGAATCTCAAAGCCTCCATCCAGCCTTTAGAAACTAACATTAGATAAATGAACTTCCTCACTAAAGGTAAACAATCCTTACCATCACAGTTAGGTGACACCACAGAGTCAGTTGCTGCAAGAGTTCCAGCTGAATACTTCTTACAGAACAGAAGTCCATCAATAATACTCATTGAGACATACAAAAGGGCACTCCGCAGGTGGTTCTCTGAAATGATGCCATGAAGGGAGTAATTCACACTCTCAGCTCATCTTTCAATCGCATTAGTTAATTCCCCCTCTTCTTGGAATAAACTGGCTGTCTTCTTTGATTTGGTCTGAGTAACTAAGATAAGGACCAGATCATAAGCAGAGATTGGGGAGAACTTCCTCAACATTATGAAGAACTTCTCCGCAAATTTAGATGAAGAAGGAGAATCTCAAAGTTACAGCTAATCACCTCTCAGCTTTTATCTTCAACAGTACTTCTTAAAGGACCTCTATCTAATGTTATTCATATACTAAGAGCATATGCAAACTACTTCCACATGTTTCTAAGAGCCTCAAGTAGTCAGTCCAATCACCTCTCAGCTTATAACTTCAACATTCTTGAAGGACCTTTATCTTCTTTGCTTCATGTTCTAAACCCATACCTGAATCTGAGACTATATCAGAGTAATATCTAGTTCCACAGGTCTCACCAACAAAACTACTTGTCAGTGACTCCTCTTCTTCTGGACCTTGGTTATTGTCTTTATATAGCCCTCTACTACGATCTAGAAAGCCTTGTTTCATCATGTTCGCGAATTTCTCCCTTATCTGAACAAGGGGATGCTTCTCAATCAGTTGATTGCGCTCATAAGCCTCTCTAAGGACAATTGTCTGCATGTCACCCTTCATAGAAAGATAAAAAATCCCCGGATGCCGCTCAAAGACCTTTGTGAACTTCTGAGGCAATTCCAATGGCTTACGAAGATTGCTCACATTGTTCCTCTCTGTTTTCTTTTGTAAGGTGAGGTTCAAAAGCTCATGAAAGACTCCAACTATCCTCTTCTCTGACACATCTGTCCTTGGGTCCAAATGAGAAGCATCTACATAAGGAGAAGTATAAGGCAGCTTTTGCCATTCCTCCAACCATTTCATACATTTTCTCTTTAACCCAAAACCCCTGGTAAATCCAATAGGAAACATCAAGGTCCCATTTTCCTTTGCAGAATTCGCCTCCAAATGGGAAACAGCTAATTTGTGATCCCATGCTAAAAGCCTCAGACCGACACGACCATCAGGAAGGTCCACCAAACTAAACAGCTCAGGATATTTAATAATCAATGAACTAGCACAATCATGCGGCAAGCCTATATCCCATTTTAGCTGATCAATTGTCTGAAGAGGAAGCATCCTCTTATTGGTCATCATCAAAACCTTTCTCAACCTATTAACAATATCTGTACTGCACTGGCGGAAAACGTCAACTTGCTCATGATGAAACTCTAAAGTCTCAGGAGTTAATTTGAACCACGGAACAGGAGTACCAGCACTATCACTACAAAAAAACTCCTGAAAAATATTCGGGTATCGCCTAAGGAAAGTGGAAACTTTCAAGTCATGAGGGAGTCCAAGCTGCCTATGCTTTCTTTGGAGATGGTAAATAGGAATACCAGAAGTGGATTGTGAGGCAATGATGGAAACTAGTGTAGTTCCAGCCTTAAGTTGTGTACCTTTAGCTACTACAGAATCCAAGACACTATCTTTAACCCATTTAAGCTTTACATTGACAAGAGTACGCTTCTGATGGTAATTCAATATGGAAATAGTGGAACCTTGTTTTACTAAAATCCTCCGCATTTCGGTATGAGGCTATTATTAGAATATAAATATTGAATCCGGATTTAGTTGGACTCCAATGTAGTCACCGCACACCAAATGGAAAAAACAAAAAAAAAAAAGTATATGGAAGATTCTAGATTAAAATTTCTTATCCAAATTAGAATATAAGGGAGTACCGATTTGGCTCTCGGCGCCGGAAATAGTAGTAGACGGATTTCAGGTACCAGAGAGGCGGATTTTAGGTAGCAGAGAGGCGGAGTTGCAGCAGTTGGGGAAAGGGCTTCAATGGCTCCTTAATTTTTGAAATGGGGAAGACGACTGCCCTTATTTATGAGCAATATATAATAACATATATTTTATTCTTACAACGAATTAGCATTTTATTTTTCTTATAAATAAAAACTCCCTAAATATGTTTTTAGTATGATAACACATAAATTAATTTAAATATTTTAAATTTAGGTATAATATATTTTTAATATCATTAATAAGAAAAAATAATTAAAAAAATATCTTGATTATTGAAATTAATAATGGACAATTGAAAAGTCAAATCACATAAATGAAAAGAGATTAATGGCAAAATTAAAATCTGCAGAATATGGAGGGATGAAAATTGAAAGAGAAAATATTAATTGTGATGAATTCACCAAATAGTGGCCATATAAATATATTACGAATAAGAAGAAGTTATGATGTAAAAACGTTTTGTGTTGTTGGGTATCAGTGTTGTGTCCAATGGAATTCGTTTAAAATCAACAAACAATTGAAAGTAGTTGTTGCGTTCAAAAGGAAATTCTGCATATTGAAAGTTGGTATGTATACTCTGATTTCAATGTATTTCCTTTTTTTTAAGTGTGTGTTTTAATGGAATATTAATTTTGAATTTGGTAAAATAAATGTTGAGATGTATGTCTCCCTTCTATTCTTCATTAATCAATTTACTTGGTACTATATGTCTTGAAAAGTTTAAAGTTAATAGAAGAAATTTATGATGCGGGTGTTGATGATGTCACCACTCTTGATTTTGCTTTCATAAAATCGATTTATTTGGAATGACAGTTATACTTATATGTGAAAGAGAGGTTGTTTAGGGAGACATACATTTCATCATGCGGGTGTTGATTATGTCACCATGCCTAATATATATTTCATCATGTTAGATTGAATGAAGCAATTCTTCTATTTAGTCTTTTTTTTTTTTCCATAGGTGTATTTGTCTTATATAAATTAATATTCAAATATTTATGTTTTGCTAACTATAATTTTCTTTTGAATTTTTATTCAACTTCTAAGTAGTTTCATAACGTAATATTTTTAACTAATCTATCTATATAATTATATAAAGTTAGGCATTAGAAATGTGATACACAATCAATAGCGATATATCAAACTTTATTTATACTTGTATGTTGCAAGCTTGTATTTAGTTACAATGTAAATTCAAATGTATTAATTTTATCTTTTTCGGATAAATGCCCTATTTTAAATTGTAAGAATAATTGTATCAATTTCATACCAAATTTTGGTAATTTTTTCATTATATAACATGTAATTTATTTATTTTTTAAAATGGAGAAAGAAAAGGATGTATTAAAGGCTAGAGTGTTGGACCCTAATACTAATCCCTTGATTGATGACAAAGGAAGGTATAAAGCTCAACTTGTGAGGGAAGATGGAAAAGGTAAAGGAAAAGTTCAGGAGGAGCAACAGTGGTCTAACCCTGTGGGGAAGGCTGCTAGAAGAATAACGCAACCTACTCTGCATGATGTGGGTACGTCTAATGGTTTTGAAACATTGGACTATTATGATCAGATGGTGGGGAATGAGGCAGAACAAGAGGAAGAACTCAACAGGCTGGTTAGAGGGCATAACACATAATTATCCTACATGAAGTGCATAGCATGGAATGTGAGGGGGCTGAATAAAGTGCATAAGCAGGTTGAGTTTAGGAATTTTTGCTGCTGTAATAAAGTAGCTATTATAGTAGTATTGGAACATAAAATAAAAGAGGGAAAGGCTGGAAAGATTATTCAAAAAATGGTCGAAAAATGGGAATGGGTAGATAACTATAATGCAGACCCTAAAGGGAGGATATGGATCTTATGGGATCCCACTAAAGTGCAGTTTAGAGTGGATGTAGTTCATAAACAATTTATCCATGGGTATGTCAAGACTCAAAGTTCAGGGTTCTATTTAACAGGAGTGAATGGCATGGGCACCATTGCTGAGAGGCAACAATTATGGACTGGTTTGGCACAAGTTACAAATGTAGTTGCAGAGCCACTAGTAATTATGGGTGATTTCAACTCTATTTTGCATGGTGATGACAGATTTGGAGGCAATGTTGTGATGGATGAGGAGGTAAAAGACTTTAAGCATTTTGTGAAGAGTGCTAATATGATTGGTATGAGGTGTTTGGGTAGGAGATATATTTGGACTAATGGGGACATACATAGTAAAATAGATTGGATTCTAACCAACACTGTTTGGGTACAGAAATGGGATCACATTTAAGGACATATTATGGAACCTCTATTTTCAGACCATTGTCCTGTGAGTTTTCCCTTTGGGGATCAAAAGAATAATGGTTCAAAATCTTTCAATTTTTTTAATCATATAGCTGATCACCCTGATTTCATTGGTACTGTGAGAAAGGGATGGAAGAGCATGACATATCCCACGATGAGAGGTGTATGGCAAAATTTGAAAAAGGTAAAGTTGCTGATCCAGAAATTAAATACCAAAGAATTCAAAGGGGTGTCTGAGAAGATAAACCAGACGCGACAACATTTATTGAAGAGAGCATCATAATGCAAAAATCAAGAGTGCAGTGGCTGAAACTAGGAGATGCTAACACCTCTTATTTTCATGCTTGTCTTAAGTCTAGGCAAAGTCAGAATCAGATAACACAGTTGATGAGTCTTGAGGGCCTTTTATTGTCATCTCATAGGCAGGTTGAAGAGGAAATCACGAAATTTTATACACAATTGTTAGGTACTGCAGCAACTAGTTTACCAGCAGTGGACATAACTGTCATGGGTGATGGCAGTACTTTGACAAGAGATCAGCAGCTACAACTAGTCAGGAAGGTGGAGAAGGAAGAAATATGGAAGGCATTAGCAGGCATCACTGATAAGAAGAGCCCTGGGTATGATGGGTTTAATACTTTTTTTTTAAAGATATGATGGTCTGTTATGGGAGAAGAGATCACTAGTGCTGTTATGGAATTCTTTAATACAACTAGCATGTATAAACCAATCAATTGTACCTCCATTACTTTGATCCCAAAGGTTAAAAATCCAGCCACTGTGAAGGATTTCAGACCCATCTCTTGCTGTACAATTCTATACAAAGTGATCTCAAAAGTTTTAACCAACAGGTTGCAGGGAGTAATGGATTATCTGGTTGATAAATCACAGAATGCTTTTGTATGTGGCAGAATGATTGCAGATAACATAATCATGAGTCATGAGCTTATCAAAGGCTATGGGAGAACTAGTATTTCACCAAGATGCATGCTTAAAGTTGATATGCAAAAGGCATACGATTCAGTGGAGTGGCCTTATCTGAAACAAATACTGCAATTACTAGGAATTCCTAACATTTTTGTGGAGTGGATTATGGAGTGCATCACAACAGTGTCTTATTCCATTCTTATTAATGGAGTTGCTTCTGCTTCATTTCCTGCAAAGAAAGGTTTAAGGCAAGGAGATCCTCTCTCTCCCTATTTGTTTGTATTAGCTATGGAATACCTCTGTAGACTTGTTCAGGGATTGCAAGAAGATGTAATGTTTAAGTTTCATCCTAGATGTTCAAAGCAAAAAATTATCCAGCTTGGTTTTGCTGATGACCTTTTGTTGTTTTGTAAAAAGGATGTGGATTCAGTCGATAGGTTATTTAGCAAGTTCAATACTTTTTCTCGAGCATCTGGACTTGTAGCAAATCTTGCTAAAAGTTCTATCTATTTTGGAGGAGTGTCGGAAGAGATACAACAGCAGATCCTAAGGATATTGGGGTTTGAAAAAGGTACCCTCCCATTTAGATATCTTGGGGTGCCCTTGAGTTCAAAGAGGCTATCAACTGTACAGTGTGAGCCACTGATTGAAAAAATGTTGGGGCGAGTAAGTTCCTGGACTGCTAAATTCCTCTCATACGCTGGAAGGACTCAATTGGTAAAAAGTGTGTTGATTGCCATCCAAACTTTCTGGGCGAGAGTGTTTATACTGCCTAAGAAAATACTGCAGTTTATTCAAGCTATATGTAGGAGGTTCCTATGGACAGGGTCGGCTGAGATGTCGAGGAAAGCTTTGGTGGCATGGGAGCAAGTTTGCTCACCTATGGTGGCTGGGGGGTTAAACTTGATTAATATAGAGGTCTGGAACAAAACAGCTATCTGCAAACTACTATGGAAACTTTGCCAATCTAAAGAGAAACTATGGGTTGTATGGGTGCATACATACTATGTCAAAGGGAGAGATATATGGCAGGTGGAACCTAAGGTGTCCTCATGGATGATTCAAAAAGCTTTTAAAGCCAAGAGATATATAGAAACTGCCGGGATCAATGTAACAGATTTTAAGGAAATGTGTAAATTTTCCATCAAAAAGACGTATAAGATGCTGCTAGGAGTACTCCCTAAAGTTAGTTGGAGAAAATTGGTTTGCAATAAGATGGGATGCCCTAAGTGGAAATTTATCCTTTGGCTAGCTTTGAAAGGGAAGCTACAAATGCAAGATAGAATTAGACAATGGATGATGATTGATGAGGTGTGTCCATTATGCAGGAGTGATGGGGAATCCCTGCAACACCTATTCTTTAGCTGTCCAGTGGCTTGCAATATATGGCGATCCTTACTACAATGGCAGGGCATTACAAGATCGAATCAAGGATGGCTGGAGGAAGTACAGTGGGCTCAACGACACTGCAAAGGGAAAAGCAAAGGAGGAAGTGTCTATAAAATGGTACTAGCTGCTGCTGTGTACCAGGTTTGGCAAGAAAGGAACATCAGAATTTTTCAACATTCCACAAGGTCCCAACATGCAATCATCAGACAGATTATACAAGAGGTGTTTCATAGAGCTAATAGGATGCCTGAGTTAGTTAATTACATGAGGAAACTGGATTTCTACCCAGTGTGATGTTATGTATTTGTTGAATAGATGCTAG